GTTTCTGAGACTGTAACTTTAGGAAATAGAAAGCTTTATATTTCTCCCAACAAGCAGATATTGGTTTCAAGCCTCTGACCTCTCGGATAGCCACAACACCACCAGGGCTCACCCTCATTCAGAGAGATCAACATCTGTTATGTAATTTTAAACACTCTCTTCCAACTGTCTTGGCTTGTTGTCACTATTGTATATACTACCCTTAGACCATAGGGTAGTGTGTTCTAAGGTTAGTAAATTCCCCTGTTTCAATACAGTCATGGACATTGAGTAAACCATGGATATGCCATCCAGGGACATGACTTAGAATCCAAGATCTTCCATTTACTGGTATGAAATATTTGGAAAATTACACAAACATCCATTGACTCAGTTTCTCCCTTTATGAAATGGGAAAATAATGTATCTCCTATCTATCTGTTTTGAGAGTTAAATATGGTATACTGAAATTTTTAAAATAGTATACAGATTGAAGTTACCATTATGATTAAAATAACTAGTAATGATGCAGTGGTTCTCGACCTTCCTAAGGCTGCAACCCTTTAATACACTTCCTCATGTTGCGGTGACCCTCCAACCATAAAATTATTTTCATTTCTACTTCATAACTGTAATTTTGCTACTGTTATGAATTGAGTGACCCCTGTGAAAGGGTCGTTTGACCCCAAAGGGGTCACAACCCACAGGTTGAGAACCGCTGAACTAGAGGAAGTAATCTCTACTGGTAGAATTGTAGTTGTTAGTACAGGAAGTGGGGATATTTGTCACTCAATGATTCGGGCCAGGTTTAGACCTCATCCCTATCATCAGACTCTGAAGGAGCCCAGGTGGTGCAATGATTAAGTACTTGGCTGCTAACTGAAAGATCAGCAGATCAAATCTGCAAGCTTCTCCAAGGGAGAAAGATATTACAATCTGCTTCTAAAGATGTATGGCCTTGTAAACTCTATGAGGCCTGTCTTCTCTGTCCAATAGGATAGTGGTGAGTTGGAAACAAATCAACAGCAGTAGACTTGGTTTGAATTTAGATAGATGCTGTTTACATGTCTTAGACGTGTGTCCTAGAGAAACAAAACCACAGAAGGACATATGAGCTACATGTTATTGTTTTGGGTAGGTGCCATTGAGTCAACTCCTACCCATAGCATCCTTATGCACAATGGAATGCAACACTGCCCAGTGTGCACCATCCTCATAATTCCTGAACCCATTGCCGCAGACACTGTGTCAATATCTCCTTGAAGGCCTTCCTCTTTTTCATGGCTCCTTTGCTTTACCAAACATGAGGTCCTTCTCCAGGGACTGGTCTCTCCTGGCAATATGCCCAAAGCGTGCAAGACAAAATCTTGCTATCCTTGTATCTAAGGAGCACTCTGGTCATACTTCTTAAAAGAGAGACCAATTTGTCCTTTGAGCAGTCCATGGTACTTTCTGTAGCACCACAATTCAAATTCATTGATTCTTCTTTGGTCTCCCTTATTCAATGTCCAACTTTCATATTCATATGAAACAATTGAAAATACCATGGCTTGAGTCAGGAAAAAATGCACTGGATAGAGTTGTTCCATTAGGATAGTTTCTTCTCTGCCATGCCAGCAGGCAAGCCTTTCTCTGGTTCTCAGCCTCTTGGCCTGGCTTCAAGCGTGTTTGGGTAATGTTACAAATATCTTTCAGGGCTGCCAAAGATGACCAAAGGGCAAGCTACTCCACTATGTTCTAAACCTGAAGACTTTCAGCACCATCTCTGTGAGTTAGTAAATCCAGCTTCCCCAATTTAGTGTCAAGAGCTACCCCACTCCACAAACCAGTCTCCTTCCCCAAAGCACTCAGCTTTACTTTTATTGTGGGCCGAGGTGACCATCACTCTGTCTCATACTCTATCTGCTAGTTCTGCTATTGTTCCTACCATACCTCCACTGGAGTCAACTGTCTCCTGGATCAAGGAGATTCAATGTGAGAGTTCTAGGTTCAATCAGCATTATGTCTTCAAACTAATGGGTCAGCATGACATCACATGGACAGGATAAGTAAGTAAGGTCCCTCTGGATGAAATTATGGCATAGTACTGGAGACTCAGTATATTACTGAGGTTGGACAAGAAATGTGCAATCCTGACCTCGCCAATGGGAGGCAAGCTGCTTCTGGTGCGCCTCCAAAATCAGACCAATCGGTGCATATTAAGTGCCAGAAGATGTATTAATTTTCTCCAGCAATGAGTCACAGCTATAAGAACAACTGCAATTGGAGTTGCTATTTGGTTAAATTTAAATTAACCCACTGCATTCTCTAAGTCCCATCTGTATTTCCCCCCCATAAATTTTATGTACAAGCTAAAGAAGTGAATCATGAAATGGAGGGTGGCTATACAGTATCTGCCAAACCACTGAGAATCATGGCCTAGCCAAGTTGACATATAACATTAACCATCACATATGTCTTCATATAGTTTTGTAACCGGAGCTGCCTCTGATAGACTCAGAATATTGAGCCCTCAGATCTCTGATTACCCAGGGATTTTCCCAGCAATCTTTGACCTACTTCATAATCATCAACAGATCTCTTCACAATGGTTATAATGATTTTTCTCTTTTTCCCCCAAGAAATCTTTGTTAACTTCTAAGCTTCTGCTGGGAACAGAAGGCCAGGAAAGTGATTAATAGCCTTTGAATTATGATCCAACCAGGAAGGCTCTTGGTGGAAATTTATACTCAAAATGGTGAGCTAAAAGTATTTTAGCCCAGGTACTCAACATTCATTGCACAACCTAATTGCACAGAGTAGTATAATGAGAGCATAAGGGAAGCAGGTGAACCAGAGCTGCCAGTAGTGGCTAAAGGCCAGGGAAAAGGCCAGAGTGGGAAAAAGCAGCATTGGAATAGGCTTTTATCACCTTTATCAAAGACAAAACTGAGGCATAAAGGGACAAATGCATAAAGAGAGTAAAAGTAACAATGACCCATCACCCTCCCTCCAGTCCCCACACCTGATTTTTTAGTAACTTCTAGTATTCAACCTCTATACTGAAAACTTTATAATCACCAAATATAATCTTGAAAACAATATTGCGAGATATGACATTACTGTCTTTATTTTAGTACATGAGAAAATTGAAGCTTGGTAACTTGTCCAAAGTTGCACAGTAAATCTTGCTTGTGGGATTATAAACATGATTGTGTTAGACAGGATTCTCTAGAGAAACAAAATTAGAATGCTAATAATTATACACACACAGAGATAGATAGATAGATGTATAACATAAGAATTAACAGCTATTTAAATTATAAAGCAATACAAATGGCTCAGTGCAACTCACTCCCGTGAGACAGTTGTGAGACACTGGCAGTCCTTCAAGTCTTAGGGCTGCCAGATAGTCCTCTGTAGAGTAATTCAGGCTATCCAGGCACAGGCAGCAAACAACAAGGCAGGTCACCAAACAGTCAACCAGATGACAGGGTCCAAAAGTCCCCAGCTCAAGAGATGTAAATTCCAATGGTGTGGCAAAACAGGTCTTGAAGGAATCTCAAATTACAGCAACACAGTCCATGGGTTAGGTGTCCCACAGGTAGTGTAGTTTGCAAATTGTGGCAAAGAATAAGCAAGGCAGCCGCACACTGGTCCAATGATCAAAGAGCAAGAGCAAGAAAGGCTAGGCTCACTGAGCCATTTATCTCTCGGCCCTTCAATGAACCCCACATGTGTTTATTGGCCAGGTTGGCACAATAAACTAACTACCTCAATGACCTACACTTCAAAAGCCCTGCACTTCCCAGCATAACACTGCCATCAGCACTGCCATTGTGTTCACTGTATAAATTGCATCCTAGCCATCCCTGTTTTATAGATTAGTACATTGAGATTTGGCACAGGTAAGTAGTTTGCACAGTGCCCTGGCATAAGCAAGAAACAAGGCTGAGATTCCGTTCCAGATTTGGCTGACTCTAAGGATGATATTTTTTAGCCACTGCCATACCCATCTAATGCTGCCATTAATAAACAAAACTTTACACTAATATTTGATGCTATGGATTAAAATTCATCTTCTAAAAAGCATGAGACTCCCTTATTTTATCAGAAAATGAATCTGAGGATATTAGGGTGAGATGAATTGGAGGAAGTAGAGGCACATAGTAAAGGGGGACACATGCTACTAAAGCTTCTCTGACTATTGTACTGACACATTCGCTCCAATGGCCTGGAGGAGACCCTATTTTGGCAACTGATGATGACATTTATCTATACATGAAAGCCCCAGGGATCACGAGTTTAACATTAAAGAGTCAGCTACTTCCTCCACAGAAAGAACCCAGGTGCTTGATGAAACCACATTGTCCTTCTAACTGATTGGAAAATTGGCTGAACCAGTCTGCCAAGATGCATGCAAGCCACTGAGCCCTGCTAAGCTTCTCTGAGTAAATTGCAAAAATAAAGTACCATTTTCACTTGCATATGAAAACAAGTAAATGAATGCCTATTGCATAATTGCTGCAATGGGCCTTAACCAACCATTCTCATTTGCGATTTCATATTTCAATAAAGTTTTATCTATTTTTATTTGTAAATAAATTTGCTGCTGGTGGAAAGAAGACTCACATCCCTGACTGGTGCCAGGTTGTGGGGAAAACATTTATCCCAGCAATGAATTGTGTGCCGACCAGACAACCTCTGAGCTCCTCTCATTTCTCACCTTTTTCAGCTGCCTTGCCTACTTTGTCGTTCATTGCTTAGCCAATCGTCTTCAGTCCTACATAGAAATATGCTAGTACCCATCCCTTCAACAAATATTTACCAAACACTTATTATATGTCAGGTACTGTTTTTAAGTATGAGAGGCCAAGCATTAAATAACGCAGCCTGGAAGCCTTGCTTTCATGAAGTGAAGCATCTAGACAATGTTTTGTGTTTGTTTGGAGTGGGAGGCTATTGAGGGGTGATGTGTGTCAGGAAGGGAGTAGTAAGTAGCACAAAAATATCCCAAAACAGCGTCCTGTGGCCCTTGAATAATGCCCGCCCCCCCCCTCTCCCCACACCCCAGGCTAATTCCAGGCCTGTATGACCTTGGCCGCACTGTCCTCTGCCTTGACTTCATGATCTTCACGCTGCGGTTGCTGCACATTTTCACTGTCAACAAACAGCTGGGGCCCAAGATCGTCATCGTGAACAAGATGATGAAGGATGTGTTCTTCTTCCTCTTCTTCCTCGGTGTGTGGCTGGTTGCCTACGGTGTGGCCACGGAGGGGCTTCTAAGGCCGCAGGACCGTGAGCTCCCTAAGATCCTGCGGAGAGTCTTCTACCGGCCTTACCTCCAGATCTTCGGGCAGATCCCCCAGGAGGAGATGGATGTGGCCCTCATGGATCACGTCAACTGCTCCTTGGAGCAGGGCTTCTGGGCGCACCCGACGGACACCCGCATGGGCTCCTGTGTCTCCGTGTATGCCAACTGGCTGGTGCTGGTGCTCCTCATCGTCTTCCTGCTGGTGGCCAACATCCTGCTGCTCAATCTGCTCATCGCTATGTTCAGCTACACCTTCGGCAAAGTGCAGGGCAACAGCGATCTCTACTGGAAGGCCCAGCGCTACAGCCTCATCCGAGAATTCCACTCGCGGCCCGCGCTGGCCCCGCCCCTCATCGTGATCTCCCACGTGCGCCTCCTCGTCCGGCGGTTGCGCAGGCGCAGTGCTCAGCAGCCCAACTCCCCGCACGTGGCACACTTCCGGGTCCACCTGTCGAAAGAAGCAGAGCGGCGGCTGCTGACGTGGGAATCGGTGCAGAAGGAGAATTTCTTGCTGGCGCGCGCGCGGGACAAGCGGGAGAGCGACTCTGAGCGGCTGAAGCGCACGTCGCAGAAGGTGGACACCGCGTTGAAGCAGCTGGGACAGATCCGCCAGTTCGAGCAGCGTCTGAAAGGCCTGGAGCGGGAGGTCCAGCACTGCAGTCGAGTCCTGGCATGGATGGCTGAGGCTCTGAGCCGCTCTCCGTTGCTGCCTCCTGGGGGCCCAGCGCCCCCATCCCCGCCTGCATTCAGGGACTGAGTCGGCTGGCTGACTTCAAGGAGTAACCTCACCAGGGAGTATTGTTCCCAGCAAAACCATCCAGCCGGACCTTACTCCCTGCACCTGGCCTTGTCCTTGAGGTGGGCCCAAAGCCCACGGACTACCTCTGGGCATCCCTAGGCTACTAAATGCAATACACTGGGCCCTGCTCCTGGGAGAACCTGCCTCGCTGTGGAAGATCAGCCGCTGGTGCCCGGTGTGGGCTCGGACATAGCTGGGTGGAGGGTCCAGGGAGATCCTACTCATTTGCTCCCCAATGAGTGGGGGAAACAAGCCATAGGTCATTAGGTGGGAGCACCTTTGCACATCTGTGAAAGAAGGAGGGTGTGTTCCTATTGGCTGACTAGAGCAGGCAAGCACAGAGTGGCAGAAAGAGGCCAGGGTCAGCCCGTGGAGCATGTTTGCAGAAGTATCAGCGTACGAGAGACACATGTTGCAATGAAAAGCAAAATAATAAAAACTCTAAAGATCCCTATGGGAAACAGAAGAATTTCTCCCAAGTTGTCTCCCCCAAATATATTCCAAACTTAGTTGCTTGTGAATGACTATACACTTGGAGGTCATCAGGAGTAGATCAGGGGTCATTTGCCCTAAGAGTTATCAGCCATCTAGAGCAAGCAGTCACCACTGTTTATCCCACAATATGTAGGACCCACTCCCCTCTGATAAGGATAGTAGTTGTCTGTTTCCTTGTAGGAAATCCCAGATAGGTCAAACCTGCCCAAGGATGACCAAGGTTAGGCTGCCATCATGAATCTAGGGTCCGCCCATCTTGTCACATTTATACCCCTAGACCTTCCCATTCCTATGGGCACACCCCTAGCTCATCCCCTTCCTGTCACACTTATGCCTATCATACATCCCCTTCCTACGATGTGTATGCTTATTTTACTGCCCCTTCCTGTGATGTGTGGTTACCTGTTACTATGCCCCCCAAATGAGATATAACCCTTGGTGAGCAATAAATTTGGTGCTCTCTCCTGCACTTGCTCCCGGGGGCTCTCGCCTACTCTTGCAGCCGGGCTCCCCCCACGAGGACCACCAAGCGGGGTTGAGGTGAGCATGCTACCATGAATTGTGTCTGACTCCATTATTCCAATCTCTCCTCTACCTCTCATGCTCTCTATGACTTTACTATAATCTTTATTTATTATCACTGTAAAATTGCACCTAACAGACCTGTGATGATTTGTGGAGGACCCTCCTCACCCCACAATCCCTGGAGCAGACCCCTGGTAGGGCAGAATGAATTCCTCTGGAGAGATGTTTGGACACTACCTTGATTTCTACATCCTGATCATCTGGATGTTTATCCTCTGTGTTAGGCTGTGGTGTCTAGAGGACAAAACTATTGGCATTTATATATATATCAACTTTATATTCAGAAATAATTTTATATCAAGAAGGCAGCCCAGCCAGGTCCGACTCGAGCTCATGAGTTTCATGCCAGCTGGGCTCCTCTTAAAAATTGTGTACTGAGGTCAATGAGGTAGAATGATGAAACAGGAAGCAGGCAGATCATGTGTTTGTGGATACAGCGTGACATGTATCTAAGGTTGGTGGGAACATGGTAGGACAGTGAGAGCTCCTAGGTTATCAACCAGGTTCATCAGCCTGCTTGGGGACAACCCTGGAAGCAGATACAAAGTCCCAGCAAAGAGGGAGGTAAAGGGTCAGAGAGAAAGGAGAAGTTCCCAGGGTCTTTAAAAATGCAACATCCTAATTAAGGAATGACCAGGTTGGGCTCCACCCCTACACATTCACACAAGTTCAAGTTGACATAAAATCTAACTGCTACTTTCTTTAAACCAAAGACATTCTAAACAAATTTTCAAGTCTGACTCATAGCAACCCTAACAAAAAGCATAGAACTTCCCCTTTAGAGTTTCAGAAACTGTACATCTTTATGGGAGAGACAACCTCATATTTTTCCCAAGCAGTTGGGTTAAGATCGCTGACCTTTCAGTTAGAAGTCCAATATATAATCTATTACACTATCAGGGCTTTAGATATCCCTTATCATCAAGTCAGTTCTGACTCATAGGGAACCAATATAGGGTGTATGAGGATTTCTAAATCTTTATTGGAGCAAATAAAGACCGGTTCCTGGAAAAGAACATCATGCTTGGTAAAATAGAAGGGCAGTGAAAAAGAGGAAGATCTTCAATGAGATGGATTGACACAATGTCTGCAACAACAGGCTCAAGCACAACAATTGTGAGAATGGGGCAGGACTGGGCAGTGTTTGGTTCTGCTGAGCACAGGGGTATTACGTGCCAGAAACAACTCGATGGCACTGAACAACAGCAGCAACATTGGAGCAGATGCCCACATTATTCTACCTCTGAGTGGCTGGTGGGTTTGATCCACTCACTTTGGGTTAGCAGTCCAACACTTACCCAACAGTGCTATCAGGGCAGGGCTCTAATTCATTCTCTAATGTCTATAATCCTGGTGGAAATGGTAGTATTTTATATTACTCAAAATCCTTAGACTTCAAGTTTTATCGTGGTCCACACAAAGCCTGTAGACAGAAAGGAAACAAAAAGTCAACTAAAGACCATTGCCATCAAGTATGAGTGACCCCTTGTAGGGTTTTGAGAAGGGAAATCTTTAAGTGGAGCACATTGATTCATTTTATTTCTCTGAGCAGCTGGTGGATTTGACCTTCTGATCTCATGGTTAGCAGAAAACTGAACTCTCATCCTTTCTTCAAAGTTCCTTGGCTCCTCAGTGGATTAAGTTAAGAAATATGAGAGACTTCTTTGCTGAGACTTCCTTTGCTTGTCCTCCTGGACCTATCATGATTATCTCAGAGGAAACTCAGTAAGGGACATATCTAAGCTAAAGAATTATCCCCTGAGCAAACCCTGGTGGCACAGTGCTTACTCATTGGTCTGTGATCCTCATGTCAAGGGGTTAAAAAAAACCAACCAACAACACAAAACCACCACCAGCTGCCCCAGGGGAAATACAAAGACTGGGCTTTCTATGTCCGGAGAGAGTTAGAGTTGTGGAAACTCAGAACTCATCGCAATGACCAACACACAAACACACACACACACACACACACACACACACATCCTTGAGGGGGATGAGCAACAGAAACCCTGGGGGAAGGGAGACAGTGGTCAGTATGAAATATGAAAATAATAATAATTTATCAAGGGATCATGGCAGGAGGTGGCTCAAATAGAAAACAAATGTTTATAAAATAATTATGGCACCACATGTACAAATATGCTTGATACAATAATTGATGTATGGATTGTTATAAGAATTGTAAGAGCCCGCAATAAAATGATCTTTAAAAAAAAGAATCCCCGCCCCACCCCCCCCCTCTAAGGTTAACAGCTGATCTAATTTGTCAACATGTGGGTTCCTGGGTGCCTGGATTTTTGACTGCTGCATTCCAGTTCAAACTCTTACTGAGAATTTATATTTTCACCTCAGATAGACTGAATCTGCATCTACATTTTAACAAGTTCCTGAGGAATATACAAGAATTGCCTGAAGATGTTAAATTATGATTCTCATTCAGTACATCTGAGGTGAAAACACAACTTTTCAGCAGGTGGTCCAACTGTAATGAAGTGGTTTAAGGACCTTCTTTGTTTGCTTATCAATCCTTCATGCTGCAGTGGATAAGCATTTGGCTGCTAACTAAAAGGTTGGTTGGTTTGAATTCACTAATAGCCCACGATGAGTCACAACCCATTCAATGTGTGCCTTTGCTTTAGGTTTGGGATCTGCCTAATGTCCAGATGAGTGAGGGTTAGGCATGTTTAACTCTTTAACAAAAGAAGATAGAAAAATATGGGAGGGAGAAGCAGGAGGGAAGAAATAAGACATAGTTTCCAGAACTAATGATATACAGGCAAGTGGAAACGTGTGCAGACCATTAGAAAAATGAAACACCAAGAAGCTTATTATCACCCAAATTTGTAGACTAATCTATTACCAACCCCCCCAAAAAAGAAAGAGAGCTTATTTTATTTTAGTGTCATCAAATGTTGTTGTTGTGTGTCTTAGAATGGATTTGGACTCATAGCAACCCTAGGATAGAGTAGAACTATTTCATAGGGTTTGTGAGGTAGTAAATCATTATAAGAGCATATCACCAAAACAAAACAAAAATGAGCATATCACCTCCAAAATCAATAGTGAGGAGGATGCAGGAGGCCAGGTGGGGCATGATCAAGAGCACTGTAACCTAGAGGAATAACTAAAACCCCAGTAAAAGCTGAGCATGATAGTGGGACAAGAGGAAAGTGAAAGGAAATAGAGGAAAGAACTAGGAGGCAAAGAGCATTTATAGAGGTCTAAATACAGGCATGTATCTATGTAAATATATTTATATATGACTATGAGGAAATAGATCTATGTGCATATATTTATAGGTTTAGTATTAAGGTAGCAGATGGACATCAGGTCTCTACTCAAGTACTCCCTCAATGCAAGAACACTTTGTTCTATTAAACTGGCATTCCATGATGTTCACCTTCCCGACAAAGCAGGTGAATTAGCAAATGTGGTGAAGAAAGCTGATGGTACCTGGCTATCAAAAGATATAGCATCTGGTGTCTTAAAGGCTTGAAGATAAACAAGCGGCCATCTAGCTAGAAGCAACAAAGCCCACATGGCAGAAGCACACCAGCCTGTGTGACCACGAGGTGTCGAAGGGATCAGGTATCAGGCATCAAAGAACAAAAAATCAAATCATTGTGAATGAGGGGAAGTGCAGATTGGGGACCCAAGACCCATCTGTAGACAACTGAAATCCCCTTACAGAAGGGTCTCAGGGAGGAGACAAGCCAGTCAGGGTGCAGTGTAACAATGATGAAACATACAACTTTCCTCTAGTTCCTAAATGCTTCCTCCACCCCCCACTATCATGATCCCAGTTCTACCTTACAAGTCTGGCTAGACCAGAGGATGTACACTGGTACAGATAGGAACTGGAAACACAGGGAATCCAGGACAGATGATCCCTTCAGGACCAGTGCTG